TGGACTTCAAGTCCGGGAGTGTGAAGCAAAGAGAAAAGCCTGGGACTCACCACTGAGTTGTTCCTCGGGCCCCAAAGTCCCTCGCTAAGCTGCCTTTTCCTCCCCACCTTTCAGAGTCTTTGTTTGACACATGAGGTCCAGGGCTTTTAGCTGTGCCTGGCGGGAGGGAGAGGGGAAAGTGCATCCGCTCCATCCTCCCAGAAGCACAGTCTCAAGAAGAAGACTTAACACAACCCGAGGTGCTGTGGCCCCTCCCGCCCCAGCTCTCAGCATCAGCCCGTACTGTCTGGGCCCCGCCCGGTCTGTCTGCTTTAGTTCCGTGGATGGGCAGTGCTTCTCCCTTCTACCCGGTCTTTCTTTGTACATGCTGGTCCCTCTGCCTGGGACACCTTTCCCTCCCCGTTCACTTAGTTACCTCCCACTCAGCCTTGGTCTGGGTCACACAAAACACTCTGCTAAGGGGCGTGCAGAAGCCCACCACCTGCACGCAGGGGTGGGGTGGTGGAGTGCAAAGCACTCTGGACTGGGCATGCAATAACTGGGATTTAGTATAGCTTTGCATCTATAGGCATGTTCCCACGCCTCTCTGGGCATCAGTCTTCCCATCTGTCAAATGTGGAGGTGTGACTAGAAGGCCTCAGGGGCTACTTTCCAGCTTAGAAACTCTTGCATCTCTGTGAAAAGTAACCTTGAGTTCAGTTGCTGCAGCCAGGGCAGGTGGACCTGCTCAGGCTGGTGAAGCTCTCTCGGTGGTGTTCCCGGAACTGCCACACGGTGGCGCCAGAGGCCTCTTTGCTGCCCCTACATCTGTGCTGTCCAAGGTGGTACCACTAGCTGGCCACATGTGACCACTGAGCACTTAAAACGTGCCCAATCGCAGTGAGATATGCTGTCAGTATAGAATATATACTGGATTTCAAATATTTAGTATAAAAATGTAAAACATTTCATTAATTATTTTTTATATTGATTACCTGCTGACATAGTATTTTAGATCTATTGTGTTAAGTAAATCTATTATTTAAATTAATTTCATGTGTTTCTTTTTACCCTGTTAAATGTGGCTACTAGAAAGTTTAAAATGACCTATGTGATTAACTCATATTTCCATTGGACAGTGCCAAGTGCTCCAACCTTTGGCTACGAAACCCTGGCTAATTTCTAAATTCCCCTGTAGGCTCTCCCATGGGGCAACTCCCAGGGCCTCCGTCCCTCCAGCTGGAAAATGGAGAGTCATTTCTGTTTCAGATTCAGCTCCTCGCAAAGCCCCACGCTAAGAGCTCGTATAGTCTCTCTCTCCTGAAATTCTCAAAACTCCATAAGGCAGACTGTATTAGCCCCATTTTACAAGCGAGGAAATTGAAGTCGAGAGATGGCAGGCAAATTGCTCAGGTCCACAGAGCAGGGAGCATCCGAGCTGGAGTCTGAACGTAACCCCTGGGCCTTGTCACCCCACCATCCTGCGGGTATACAAGATAAGTCAGCCTTCTCATCCTACCTGCAGTGAAAACGTCAGGTCATATGCCACCTTCTAAGTGATGGGAAGGGATCCAGATGAGGAAAAGGACATACCGTTTATTGGGCACTTATTACACGTCACATCGTGTGATAGGCGTGTGAGGTACACTCTTTGGTTATCCTGACAATAGCCTTGTGAAGAGTGTATTATTATAATCAGTGGACTTGCCTGGCACAGCTAGGACATGACAGAGGTGGCTGGCAAACTCATGTCCACGTGGCAGAAAGTACTGTGTATTTTTCTCTCCACTCTGCTTCCATCCACTAGTCTTCCGGACTCTCTGTGTTGCAAGTAACAAAATCATTTCTAAATTCCCCTGTAGGCTCTCCCATGGGGCAACTCCCAGGGCCTCCGTCCCTCCAGCTGGAAAATGGAGAGTCATTTCTGTTTCAGATTCAGCTCCTCGCAAAGCCCCACGCTAAGAGCTCGTATAGTCTCTCTCTCCTGAAATTCTCAAAACTCCATAAGGCAGACTGTATTAGCCCCATTTTACAAGCGAGGAAATTGAAGTCGAGAGATGGCAGGCAAATTGCTCAGGTCCACAGAGCAGGGAGCATCCGAGCTGGAGTCTGAACGTAACCCCTGGGCCTTGTCACCCCACCATCCTGCGGGTATACAAGATAAGTCAGCCTTGCTCATCCTACCTGCAGTGAAAACGTCAGATCACATGCCACTTTCTAAGTGATGGGAAGGATGAGGAAAAGGACGTACCGTTTATTGGGCACTTATTACATGTCACATCGTGTGATAGGCATGTGAAGTACACTCTTTGGTTATCCTGACAATAGCCTTGTGAAGAGTGTATTATTATAATCAGTGGACTTGCCTGGCACAGCTAGGACATGACAGAGGTGGCTGGCAAACTCATGTCCACGTGGCAGAAAGTACTGTGTATTTTCCTCTCCACTCTGCTTCCATCCACTAGTCTTCTGGACTCTCTGTGTTGCAAGTCACAAAATCTCAAAATTTTTTTGGCTCATGTAACTGAAAAGTCTGGGGATAGCTCTGAATAGTTTCAGGAAGGGCCGCATCCATTCCTGAAGCTCTGTCTCTCCCTCTTTCTCTTCTCTACTCCCCTGTGTCTGGGTATCTGTAAGATGCCGACCAACGACTCCAGGCTTGCTTTCTGTCCAACCCCAGTGGAAAGACAGCTTCCCCTTCCTACATTTTCAACAACCAAAAACAAAACCCTGAAAACGCATCTCATAGACATGGCCTGGGTCATGTGCCCATGCCTGAGCCAGTCCATCATGGCTAGAGGGATGAAATGCGTTGACTGGCCCAGCCTAGTCCCGTGGCTATTCCTGGAAGGGAAGCGGGGTTCAGTTAGTCCCAGCCCCTAAACACAGAGCCTGAGATTGGGTAGAGTAATTGCCTGAGGAAAATCAGACTGCCTTACCCCAAGGGGGAATGGATGCTGGGCAGGCACAAATACCAGGTGGCCACTGAGTTTTCTAAGTGCCCCATCCCAGACCATGGTTCGCGGTGGTAAAAGTCTAATCCTGGAGTCTTCAGACTTCTCAGCACCAACTCTGAAGGCATTATGTCCCCCCTGCAGGTACAGCGGAGAGGGACACAGTCTGCGAGCGGCCCTCCCTAGGGACCAGCCGTGACTGCAGCTCCAGCCCGGAGGACTGTAAGGCGCTGGCCAGGTGACTCCCGGCTCCCTTCTACCCAGCTAGCCTAATGTGGGGCTGTCTCACCCCGCAGGACGCCCAGGACACAACTGGGCCGGGTGTGAAGGCGGGGTTCAGCCCACGGTGTCAGGCTCCAGGATGCCTCTCTGCCAAGCCCACAAGTCATATGAGGCCCTACTGTGTGCCAGCCTTCCCTGAGCACACAGGAGACCCAGAGGCCTAGAAAACACAGCCCTTGCTCCCAGAAGCTGACGGTGGGCCCACCAGAGTCTGTGGGCCGAGGGTCTGGGGATCCCGTCTCTATAGAAACAGTTACCCCTGAGCAGAGTCTTCCCTCGCCCTACCAGAAGAATTGTCAGTCCCATCTCTGGCTTCTTTCTCAGTGACACCACCCCCCACGCCAAACCCATCCTGACCTCAGCAAGCTCCGATGCCAAGACCACGCTTCTTGGAGGGGACCTCACCCCGGAAGATGATTCCAAAATGATGAGGGCTCCCGGCTCTGCCCACTCCGCGGGGAAGCCCGGGCCGGAGCCAGGTAATTTCCCCAGGGAAGCCGTGGGCTCTTTCCCAGAGCACTGGTGTCTGATGGGCGGTGGTGTGGTGTGGGGTGGGCCAGGCAGGTGAGGGGAGAAGTGGGTCCGAAGGTATGGGCGCTGAGGGCATCGAGGGCCAGAGTAGATAATGGAAGGGCTCACTCATTTCACATCAGCCTTGAGCGCCTCCTAGAGGCCAGCGCTTGCAATGGCACAGATGAGCCCCTGTGTGTGTTGATTTGATACCCTTTCGGTTCCATGGTGACAGACTGAGCTTCCCTCCTCCCCCCATTCTCCCCTGCTTATTACTGAATAGCCTTCCATTGTAAATGTACACCACACTTTGCTTATCCAGTTTTTGGATAGTTGGGTTGTTTCCACCTTTTGGCTATAATGAATAAGGAAAAACAAATCTTTGTGTGAATGTATCCTTTCAATTCTCTCTTTTTTTAAAAATTGATTTGTGGGACTTCTTAGAATTCTGAGTTTTGAGCTCTTTGTCCTATAGTGGTGTTCAGATACCCTCCCCGCCCCCCACGCTGCGACTTGCCTTCCCATTCTCTTAGTGGTGTCTTTCCATGACAAGCCGGTCTTAAATTTAATGTGGTCAAGTCGATCCATCTTTTCCTTTATGCCTAGTGCTTTTTATGTTCTGCCTCGTACGTCTTTTCCTCCTCTGAAGTCTCAGGCACAACCTGCGTTTATTTTCTAGGATCACGATTGTTTTGCCTTCCACGTTTAGATCTGCCGTCCACCTTGGCTTGTAGACGTGGTGCGAGGCAGTGGGCTCGTCACAAGTGTCCGCGTGGATAACCAATTGAGCCAACACTATTGGTCAAATAAACCGTCCTTTTGCCATGGCCTTGCATGCCAGCTTTGTTGTAAATCGAAGGTCCCGGTACGCGTGGGTGGAGTTCCACGCTCTGTCCTAGTCCGCGGGGCTTTCGGTCTGTTCTGCATGAATCCACCCCGTCTCCATCACGGTCATTTTTCAGTAACTCTGCACGGAAGGCTGAGCAGCTTCTCCATCTTTGTTCTGCAACAGTGTATCGGCTAGTCTTGGTAATTTGCATTTCCATATCCATTTTAGAATCAGCTTTTCAAATTCCACAGAACGTCCCGTTGGGATTTTGATTGGATCGAACCACATCCGTAGATCGGTCAGTTTGGAAAGAAGCCACGGCGTTGTGGTGTGGAGCGGATGCGGAGGGCACAGCCCTACGTTTGCCCGGGCAGCCTTTCAATTCTCCCAACAGTGCTTTCTTATTTTCCGAGTGGAGATATTTCCAGCTCCGTGTTAGATTTCTAGTATTTGATATTTCTGATGATGATGCACGTGGGATCTTTGTCAAGATGTCCTGTTCTGACTCTTTATGGTCAGTATGATTTCGCACCATGCGAAATGGCCAATCTTTGACTGGCTGACCTATGAAAACAGCAATTTCACGTGGTTCGGACCAATACGCAGACATTCAATTGGTTTCGATACGGTGGCACTGCATCCACTCCCTTGTTAAATTCCCGCGGTAGTTGTGACCCAGTGCCTGCAGATTCTTTCGGGCTATCTGTGCGCCGCGGCGTGTCATCCGTCCATACCTGGCTGATACCTTCCTTTCCAGCCGTTACCACTTCTGTCTCTTTTTCTTGCGTCGCCGCGTTGCCTGGAAACCCTGTACCGTGCGGAATAGAAGCTGTGATAGGCGTCCTTGCCTCGCTGCTGAACTCAAAGGGGAGGTTTGAGGAGGGCGGGCACGTAGCAGCGAGCATGGGGAGAGGGCGCTGCATAGTGGAAAAGGTGGGTTGAGGGGGGTGGGGACCGGAAGCAGAGGGGACGCAGGGGCTCTTCTCTTGTGTGGCCTTAGACACATTCCTGACCTCTCAGCCTCACGACTCCCTCCGAAGGCCTGACCGGACATGCGCAGAATCTGGGAGCTGCCCGTGGAGCTGGGGGGGCTTCGATGATTGGTGGGGAGGCGAGGCCTCTGCCGAGGTGGCCCGAACCTTCTCCGCTTCTTTTCCCAGGGCTGTCCCCACAGCAGCCGTGCCCTCAGGGGTCCCCTAACTGCAGGAAGCAGTGCGAGCAGGACTACTACCTGGACAGGGACGGCCGCTGCACGGCCTGCGTGAGCTGTTCAAGAGGTGAGAGTCGAGTCTTGTCTTTCCTCCGGGGCTCTTCAGGGGGCAGGGGGTGCGGGTCTTGCAGGAGAGGCTGAGACTCAGGGGGTGGGGAGCACCGAATTCGGTCTTGGGCTGCTCAGCGCTCGGAAGTCTGGCTCACTGCTCTGGCGTTTTGAGCAGCCAGCTTCCAGCAACGCCCGCTCATGATTGTGGGGTGGGTTTTTGATGACAGTGATTCCTTTTCAGAGAGTTTCTATTCGCTCGCTCGCTCTCTTCTGCAAGGAAACATTTGTTAATCGCCTCCCTGTTCCAAACTTGTCTCATTATTTTTTGTGACTGTCCTATGTGGCACAGATTGCGATTGTCCCATTTTATAGATGAGGAAACTGAGGCTTTGGGAAGTCAGGGGTCTTCTAAAGGCCACAAGCCCTCAGAATGGCAGGGCTGGAGGTGGAGCATAGGGCATCTGCCACCGAGTTCTGGGCTCTGGTCACTCCACTGCTCCGCCTCTCAGAGCACACTCCGGACGAGCGCTTGCTGAGTGACTGCTGTGTCCATGGCAGAATCACAGCCCGCAGGTGTTTTCCCTGCGGCCAGCTCACCACAGCCTCTTAGCATCGCCAGCTGCCCTGTGACTTCCATGAAGGCCACACAGGGCAGGGGAGGTGACCCAGGACCCAGCCCGCCATGGTTGTTAGCGGCCCAGCCCACTCACAGAGGCCGCCGGGGGAACGCGTGATTCTTTCTCCTGGTCTAAGGTTCCTTTCATGCTGCAACCCAGACCAGAGGCAAAGGGACACCAACCAGAGAGAAGAACACTTAGTGTGGCGTCACTGGGGGCCACCGTTCAGTGACTAAGTCCACGTCATAAATTTTCTCAGAACTTAGTGGTGAAAAACAAACCATTCATTATACTCATAGATTCTGTGGGTCAGAATTCAGACAGGGCACTGTGGGGACAGTTGGTCTCTGCTTCATGCTGTCTGGAGTCTCATCTGGAAAAGTCGAAGGCTGGAGGCTGGAATCCTCTGAAAGCTTATTCATCGGTGTGTCTGGGGGTTGATGGCAGCTGCTGGCTGGGGCCTCAGTGCCTGTCTGTATCAGCCTCTGTGTGGCTAACTCTGGGCTTCCTCAAGGCTTGATGGCCGGATCACAAGGATGGGAGCGGAGGGTAGAGAAGCCATATCCCTTTTTATGACCCAGGCTTAGGAGTCACATGGTGTAACTTCCCCAACTCTCTACATGTTGAGTCGAGGGAAGGGAAAATTCGGGGCCAGAAAAATTGCTGTGGCCTTTTGGGAAAAAACCTATAATCTGTCACAGACGCTATGTCAGATGGAGACGCAAAAGATGGCTCTGGGCCCAAGAGTTCCTTTCCCCCCCATAGCTGAAGCCCTGCGAGGCAGCGGATGGAGCACAGGGACGGAGAGCATGGGCCCTGGAGCCCACGTGCCGGGTTCAAATCTTGGCTCAACCACTTCGTAGCTTAGAAACTCCAGCACGTTCCTTAACCGATTTGTGCCTCGATTTCCTCATCTGTGAGATGGGCATAGTAATAACAGACGATCTCAGAGAGTCGCAGGAATGAAATGGGTTAAACTAGTTTGATCTGGGTAGAGGGCCAAGAATGCCGCCTCGCACACACTCGATTGTATTGATGGCTACAGTAGTGACTACAGCTGTCATCGCCCCAAGTCATCTCACGATCGCTGAGCCCGCTCTTGCCTTCTGCACAAATTCCCCAAATCCTCCCCGGTTCCCGCTCCCTCTGGAGGTTGCGGGAGAGACTGTGCAGTCCCTTATCTTCGTCACGTGCGGTCTCTAAGTATCCCGCCCAGGAGAAGTGTTTTTCCTGAGCAAGTCATATTAGTCGGATCTACTGCTGTAGTGATTCCATTTCCGCAGAAATAGAGTTGAGAAACATCCCCAAACACATAAGTACATTACTATATGTTTTCTTCTACAAAACCCATTTTAATTTTTGATTTTGGAAAAAAGAAAGTTATCTTTGAAAATTTCAAATGTATTCAGAAGCGGAGGGAATTGGGAATGGTTATGGCCTATCACCCAGTTTTAAAGAATCATCAAGTCGTGGCCAGTCTTGGTTTTTCTTGTACCCACGCCCACTCATCCCTGCCCTCTAGGTTATTGGAACGGCTTTATTGAGATATAGTTGATGTACAATAAAGCGCACATGTTGAAAGTGTGCGATCTGATATGTTTTGACACAGGCATGCCACTGTGAGACCCTCACCACCCATCGAGATAACGAGTGAACTATCTGTCGCCTCCAAAAGTGTCCTTCTGTTCCTTGTCACTCCCTATGCCCACTCCCATTCCCAGGCGATCCTTGTACTTTCTGTCACTGTGGAGTGGTTTGCATTTCCTAGTATTTCGTACCAATGGAATCATGTCGAATAGGCTCCTTTCTCATCTGCCTTCTTTCGTGCAGCATCATTATTTTGAGTCTGCAGAAAGGTCTGCTCGATGGAATAATCAAACGAGCATTCGCTTCTGGAGAATGCTTTTCTGCCCTTCTGGGGGTTCTCTGCACCCCTGCCTTTGCCATTCCTGATCTTTCCCCATAACCCTCCCCTTAGATGACCTCGTGGAGAAGACGCCTTGCACGTGGAACTCCTCCCGCGTCTGCGAATGTCGACCTGGCATGTTCTGCGTCACACTGGCTACCAACTCCTGTGCCCGCTGCGTCGCCTGTCCTGTCTTCCCACCAGGGATGGTCCAGGGTAAGCAGTCCGTACCCCCACCCAAGGGGCCGAGGTCTGTGCCCCCACCGCTAGACCTCCCCTCACCCCCAACTGGGCAAATGACTTTCAACCCCAGCTGTCAACCAGGTCAGGCTTGGGCTTCGTTTGTTTGTTCTGAGTAGTTAGAAACCATCATAGAAACCAGTGAATGGAATAAAGTCCAAATTTCTCATTTCGGTAAGATGATTTTATAAAAAAAGCTTTTTATCACTGATGATGCTTTTTCTAAAAAAATTCTTCCTTTAATGGTTGGGCTGGTATAATCTTGACTTGTTTGCAAGGCTGTTTTATTGACTCAAGGTAGGTGAATATAAAGTCTATGAAGAGGCTTCCAACTCAAGGTGGTAGACGTTTGCTCGAGTGCAGAAAAGTATAAACTCTTGATAGCAAAACAAACAAACAGGATTGATCAGCAGCTTAGAGATTTTGACAAATTTCTAGAAAGTAGAAAACCGACGGCAGCGTGGTGACAAATGAAACCAAGTGGAGGAATTCGCTCCATGAGGGCTGCAGGAAAAGCGAGGGGCAACTCGCTCTTAAGACCCCCAGACGAGCTGCGGGCTCAGAGCAGGCAAGTAAAATGACGGATGGGTGTGAAATGGAGAATTGCAGAGTGCAACTTCATCTCGAAAATAAAATTCAAAAATTCGTAAGGGCCGTATACCATGGGCACTGGCCAGTCCGAACAGATGGTGCCTGGCGACAATAATTAGCATTTTGGCCAAAGACACTGAAGGGGTGCCTACGGAGAGCCAGGCCACCAGTGTGGTGCTGCCACTCTGGTGCAAAGCCCTCTTCGTGTGTTGGGGAGCACGTCCTGTCAATAGGCTATTGCTGCTCAGTCGCCGAAGTGAAGGCTGCCAGTACCTCACACCCCCACCTGCAGGCCCAGTGTTCCCAGGTAGACCTCAGGGAAGGGACCCGTTGTGAAAAAGGCAGACTAACACCACAGCAGAAGAAACCTCACTAGCTATTGGAATATTCAGCACAGTCCTTTTTTCACAATATGAATGAGCAGTAAAGATCTTTAGACTGGAGAGAAGCCAGAGAATAACAAGATACACAAACAGGAAAGCTCACTATAGATGAAGCAATGATAAATCTAGGTCTAGAAGAGAACTTAAAACAATCAGATTAGTCCACAGAAAATTTCAAGAAGTTGTTATATCCACCAAAGGAGAACAGAATGCTATGAAAAAAGAAGAGTAAAAGAACAGAGGACAAGAGATGGCTTTTAGAAAGTGTGCTTATCCATCTATGGCCTCTCAGCTTCCAACTAACTCACCCTTCGGGACCTGCTCTGTGAGAAAGGACTGGCCTCTTTAAGCCTTTCTCCTTGTGTGCGCGACCTTAAACTTTGCCAGTAGAGGGCGCTGGGGGCATTGCATCAGGAAAGAGGCTTCTTTTGGCTGCATCTGCTTTTTGTTGGCCCTGCTGCATAGGCTGGGAGGAGGGC